AAATATCATTTTACAGTTCAAATTGGGTTAGGGTCTTCTACGGTCATTCAGTGTACATCTCTGAGAGAGAGAAAGCACAGGTGGAAGTTCCTGATCAATAATAACCCGCATAAAATCAAAACTTAAAAGCTGTTTTCACATAACACCTGTCACCGAACCATATAGTTTCATTTCACAACATGTCTTTACTGTTCTTATTTTCCATCTATATCTGATAGTTGCACTGTGGACAAAATCCTTTGTACAGAGTTTGGTGCTTCATTAGAGGAAAAACCCAGTGAGTTTTACTTATTAGAAACATTGTTCGCGCTGACCTCAATTCAGACGCATTATGCAGTCTGCGGCTGATAAAACCAATCTCTTACAGAGGAGAAGTCCTTGCTGGTTTGCATAATTCACTGTGTGGAGAGCCCCACCGGCAGCTATCGCAGGTTCCCTCCTGGTAAGGGAGGACAAAACGTAGACATTAGGCAGCAGCTAAGTCTCTGCAGGAGCAGATATGAGAAAGAGGATGTTCAGAGGCATATTCTAAAGTGGACTTCCCCCGAGGGTAAGTGCACCACCCGAAAACTTTTACAGATCTGGCTCATTAGCCAAAGGGTATTTTGGGAGAAGAGCGAAAGGTTAGGGAAAAGTTACTGTGAAGGAAGAGAATGGAAGAGGCAATCTAAAGCATGTAGTAAAACGCTAGTCTTTGAAAGGATAATGAGAGGGAAATGAGGCATGATACTCTGGCACCAGCTGCGTTTCTAGAACAACGTCATATATGCTAGATACAATAAATATAGGATTTCAGCCAACATGTTTAAAAGTTAAAATTATGTTAATGTGTGTGAACACTAGTATCGTGCTATGGCGTCAATTAAATTAAAACAGGCTTGAGATGTTATTCCAAGTCATTTTGGACCATTTTAACCATTACTAATCAAATAGTCACACAAAGTTAAGGGCAGCTGGTGTTTTTTCAAAATACTTACAAGGTTTTGCTATGACTTTGATAGTATGAAAGGTCACTGGGTTAAGGGGGTTCAAAAAAAGCTAGTCCAATCAAAAGAGGTATAAAAGCGTGAGCGCAGCTGGAGCTTGGCGGAGAAAGCCAAGCTAATGGTAGTGGAGCTGATATAGATCCAGTAATAAGTACCCTGTCTTTCTCTCACACACACAAAGAACTGACAAAAGCAACAACAAGAGTGGAGGGAGTCATGGGTTGGCACAGCGACTCAGCCTGCTTCGTTCTAAAAATGTCTTTGGGTCAAATATACACACATACACACACAAACACACACATATACACACCTGTTGCTAGGCAACAGCAATGCTCTCTTGATCAGGAAGTGAGAAGGATACAGGAGAAAGCAGGAGAAAGAAGAATTAGAGAAACAGACAGAGAGAGAGAACAACAGAAGGACACAAATGGAGCAAGGGAGATATAGGGAGTAAATGGGGTTTTGAAAACAGTCCGGAGACAACTGCTGGACAGTCGTGCCAATCACAGCCTCTTCAGCTGTCAGAGTGATGCAGGGCTCCTACAGGTGAGTGATCAGACCGGTGAGCTGTTAGCTGAAATAGTCTCAATGTTCCAAATGCCAGCATGCTAACAATCAGCCCTAAACACCTCATAATCACCTGGACAAATCTCTTGGCAATACAGCCACCATGCCCAGAGTATTCATTCCTCTAAATTCTCTACAGAACATTTAGAACCCTCAAATCCTGGTTTTGTTCACTGCATCCAATTTTCTGACAAAATAAAAAAGGACAAAGAAAACTCTCCCCATGGTGGCTGAAACCACTGATCAAAATCTTAACGTAGAAATAAGTCTGATAAGCCAGGGGACTGTAAAGGTTAACAGATTTCAAAGACATGCAGATATGATGATATCCTCAAAGCAATTTGCTCTGGAAGATGATGCAAGGTACAGAAGGCAAAAAGAGCACAGAGAGAAATAGGGGAGCACATCAGAACTTTTGAGAGAATACAATATTCATTAGTTTCTATTTCAGGGCTAGTCATTTAATTTTTAAAGCAAGCCTTGACCAAAAATGCAGCACACAGACAGGACAATTTACACATAACACTACAACAAACTTTTCCATTTCAGTGGGCAGGTTTTTCACACCGAGCGAAAAAAAATGCTAGTTGCTGCAAAGTTTTTCATCCTTGTTGAAAGGCTAAATAATTTTGACTCTAGATTCTGTTCCTGTTCCTAGATCTGTGTCTTGCCTCAACATATGACTGCATTTTAAATCAGGCTGATCCTCTCTTAAAGAGTAGAAGCTGGTTGACTTTTAAAGTATTAAGCTGTTTTAATGTGTCCTCGAACCAGTAAAAGTAGAGTCTGAGATAAAATGATCACTTTATTTGGCATTCAGTCAAAGTTTTGCAGATGGCTTTAACATATAGCACACGTCTTTCGTGGATTATCCTACAGAAAAAAAAGACATAAATCCTGTGCAGTTTATGGCCACTGCTGATTTTAAATCTCAGATGAGTGAACTCTTAAGCCCCTTTCTGATATAAACCCCAGAACATTGCTGGATTATCCTTACTAGTAATGCTGGCGAACTCCCCCTTTTGCACTTGCAGCCTACTGCTGGAACAATGCTGGGTCCAGTGTGTTCATATACATCAGGAGAATCAAGATGCAGGATGTGATGTTTGGCGGAAGATGCTTTGTTCTGTTGAAAAGATCATGTCATTAAAATGTCACCCTCTTATCTGACAGTGTTTCGGTTTTGGTTCATAATTAAGTCCACCCAGATCATTGCTGAGAACTTTGCGGGAAGAATTTCTCGGGATTCTGACCCCAATTCACGCTCACACAAAACCCCATCCTAAGAAATTCCCAGAACATTTATAGGTACAACTGCATGTGTGAAAATTGCTTTAGAGCATGGATTCACCTGGTAGATCACGAGTTTCTTTTCTCAGAAGAGTTTCACTAATACAAGTCTGAAATACACTCTTCTCAACAAAATTTATAACTAACACTCTAAACTTTAACACTTTTAAAGTGTCAAATTTAAAATAGCTGTTTGTAAGAGATGTTAAGTAAACTTGGGTCACTGTTACGAGAGATTATCACCCCAGACACTGGAAAGATGCCACCACCTCTACTTCTTTGCCCTGCTATTTGCAGTTTAAAATGGAAAAGAGCTCTAATATAATGTTCTGTGCTTTCCACAGAAATTTAAAACAAGGATCTGGTAAGATTTGATTGGCGTTAAATGTTAAATGCTGTTAAGAGATTTGTAAGGTCCTGAGTTTTAAGTAACAGCTGAGCCATAAAGCTTTTCTAATGAATGAAGTATTGCTAAATAATATCTAACTAACTGCCAGAAAAACACAGAACTTCATATAATTACCCTAATTTGTATCTCAAACGTTGATGGGCCTTACATTAAATGAAAAATAAATGTTCTTTCCTTTTTCACTGCACAGTGAATTTGTAAGTGTAACCCAAAAGAGGTTTAGTCATCAAAAGCCAGCCATTGGCACACAGTAATTAGTACGTCCTCATTTGAGGAAGACAAGAAGTGGGTCATGCTGAGATTTGTATACTTTTATGACTTATAGGCTCTGACAGGGTACAAAGCAGCCATTTGAGAGCAGAAGCTCACAGTTGCTCTAAAGGATGAGTAATAGCAAAGTAATTACACACATACGCACATAATTTAGCAGTGCTAACTAATTTTACCACACAAAGGAACCTTCACGTTTACCTCAGTGGCCCCTCTCATAACTTTTCCCCACTTCAGTCTAAATGTCATACCTGTCATACACTGTCAAAAGGATAATCTTTATGACAAAAGCTCTGCACTGAAGTCCTGATGCTAATAACAAGTACACCCCTGCCCATCTCCACCGATGACGGGAGAAGATTATTCATACTTCTATAAATACGACAGAAGCGTCTTGGAGCGGATGTGAGTGGGCCAGAGGCTGCTGTGCTTGGTGCAGGTCAGGCTGCAGCAGCTGACCGCCTGCTCAATGAAGTGAACCCGCTGTTCAGACTCGCACCTCTCTTCACTCTGCTTTCTCTTTCCCTCACCCATCATCCATGATATGCAGTAGCCAGTGAGCCATGTTGAGGGACAGACAAACAAAAACAGAAGTAGAAAGAACAAAGCAGGCCTTTTTCAAGAGTGTGTTCATTGCTGGTTTCCTGTTTAAAAGGTGTATATGGAGGAGACCAGCTGATGAATGCAGCAGTCCAGTGGGAGCGAGGAGTTATGGAGGAATAATTCAGCACACAAGGACAGGAAGAGGAAACAGGCGAGGCAATCCCTAAACTAAACATTCATCCATCTCTTCTCTCTGTCTCGCTCAAATACACCTAAATACTCACTCTACAATAAGAGAGAAAAAGAGGGAGAGAGAGAGAGTAACAGAATGACTAATGGGTTTTGATTGGGAGCTCGTGAATCCACAGCACTCAAACAGACTAGTGTGTGAGAGGCAGTCATTACAGCAGGAGTGATTGGACAGAGATAACACAGCTAATCACACACAGCCAGTTGAGAGAGGAATAAATGAGTACGATTGTGACTTTTCTCTCTGCTTTCCATGCAAGCCGGTTCCTGGAATATCCTCAAACTCTCCAGCTTACATAGCAAGTGTCTCATTTGAATCTATAATAAGAGGAGTTTAGCTATACGTATTTGACTTCCTGTTGAGAAGCAGATGCATAAGAGGGAATCTGTCTGAGCAGGAGATTTACAGTAGACTTGTAATACATTGTTTTGTCCTGATTCCACCCCAGTCTAAACCTCATCCTGGCTCCACACCTGGCACCTCAATCTTATTATTATTTTCACCTGCATCTTGTTCAGTTGATGTGCTTTAGCCTAGGGTTCAAGAGGATAAGCTGTTCCCCTGCTTTCTTGCTGAATATTGGTTGATTCCTACTCAAGAACTGCCTATGCTGAAGATGCCTGTAAGGATACAATTAGCTCATACATTCTTCTAATGAAAATGAAGGAGACACCACTGTTCTTACCTATCTCCAGCGAGGTTATGCCCATGGATGCCTGGCCCAGTCCTGCTTTCCTCTCCCACTTGCCCTCATCAGGGTGGTAGACTTCCACTGACGCCAGAGGACTCTGCTGTGCATCCATGCCCCCCATCACCACCAGCTGGTCCCCCAGGGCCACGGCTGAGGCCCCGGCCCGCGCTGTGGGCAGCGGGGGCAGCTGGCACCAGGTTTGGGATTCTAGATCCAGGACTTCAGCCGAGTCAAGTGGCAGGCCGTTCTCACTGCAGCCCCCCAGCACGTAGAGACGTCCAGCCCAGAGCGCGGCCGTGCAGTACACGCTGCCTACGGCCATTGGGGGGAACGCCTCCCAGTGCAAAGATTTCACAGGGCTCAGAGCCATCTCGGGTATGGGCATGGCTCCACGCGGGCACAGAGGCGACGGAGCATCACAGGGGCGCAGGGAGAGAGGAGTGCAAAAACAAGGCAAACAAAACAACAGGCAATAAACAAACAGGGCAAACTGAGTCTCTAGAGTGGTGGCTGCTGTCAGTTTGCCAGAGCGTCTTTTTCTCCTCTCTGAAAACAGGGGTTGGTGGGGGGGTGTTGGGAGTTGAAGTTTGTGGGTGGAAGGATTCAACTGCAGTAAACTGCAGAAAAATAGCCTTCAGTCTCTCTTGATGTTTTATTCATACTTGTTGACTTTTTAGCAGCCAGCCATCTATATACATCTTTCACCTCCTTTCACCGCATAAGAAAGTGGGGTGTTCAAAATAACAAAGGTAAAGCAATCACTCCAGAAATAGAACTCCAACAGAATAAGGGATGACTGTTGATGACCTTCAGTAATTCAGCCACTTGATCATCAAGTTAGGTTTCAGGTGTAATGCCTCTCAAGGTCTCCATAACTGATGACTGCAGGAAGGTCCTGGTCTTTTCAGCTTGAGTCTCAGAGCCAGCACTAATCCACAGCTATCACTTCTTATACACTGCTCATAGAGACAGATGAGAGAGACATAGAGAGAAAAAATATGAGAACAGTGACAAAGGGAGAGAAAACTGTGCAATGCTACTAATTAAAGTGCAGAGTTGGCCACTGCAGTGGGCTTATTTCGTGCAGAGCAGGAGCTGCAGGTCCCTTTGGGACCAAAGCGATCCTCCCTGGGAGGATTCGTAGCACTGTGTCAAACAAACCCAGTCACTCACATGATTTGATGGCCAAAGCACTGACATTTACCATTTACAGCCTTGAATCCGGAGAGAAGGACAAGGGTGGCAAGGATGTGTGTGTGTTTGTGTGTGCGCATGTGAGAGAGAGCAAGACAAAGGTGGTGAGGTTCAGAAAGCAGCAGTCTGGCCCTCTCCAAAGGTCATTGTGTGTACTGAGAATTGCAGCTAGGGGCAGCCACTGCAGCAGCCTAATTGGGAGCTGGGCATCTCTAATTAGCAGCCTTATTAAGATGAGGTGTGTGATGGTAACAGCTGCCTAGGGCTGAGATGCAGGAGGAGAAGAAGGAGCGAGGAGCACAGGGAGAGGTGTGAGAGAATGTGAAAGAGACCATGAGAGTGAGAACTGGCTATATGTGGGAGAGGGAGATAGAGATAGCATACAGAGGAATCCTCAAAAGCTTGCTGAAGCGTGGCAGCGAAAAGGAAAGTGTGAGTGTGCCTTGTCTGCCTAGAGAATAAACAGATGGACACTCTTCCCCTCAGAGACAACAGCACTGATGGAGCAGAATGGGGAATAGATAGAAGGCTAAGGGTGCTGAGTCAGATCTTAAGTGTTTGTGTGTGTATGGGGGTGGGGGGGGTACGCAACAGTCTCCACATGTAGTCAAAAGTCTTGTGTCTTGTTCTCCCTTTGTTTTAAGTGGACAGGGAGTTGAAATTAAGATGCTTAATGACAGGGCCCTACAGTATGCTACGAGTTACTGCATGGACTGGACAGTCTGCCTAATGATCCATGCTAACACATGCTATGAAAGGGGTGTAATAGGGGATGGAAAGGATACAGGTAAATTAACCAGTTACCCAGAGCAAATGCTTCCCTTCCCTTTAGCCTTCAGACTTTACTCCAATAAAATGATTTGCAGGCCTAGTCTTTATCCTTGATGAATTGTTGGTATGGTATTCTAGATGACGTATCTTCCATCAGATGAAATCCACTGGTTCAGACTAGTCGTTGGATAAGTGGTTTCACACAGCTCTACAGTCCACTTCTGCTTGATTTCCTAGAAACAGACAGAAACAAAAATAAACTCGAGGCACTCAAAGAGGGGTAAAAAGATCAGTGGAAAGAGAGAGAGAGAGAGAGAGAGAGAGAAATGGGCGGTAGGGGATTTTGGGTACTCTCTTCTGGGGAAGAGTCTTAATGGCTTACTGTGAGAAAACAACACAGATCACAGTTGAATCTCAAGACAACAACAAAATATAATTGGCATAAAAGAAGTTTTTTTTCTACCAAACCCCACAAAGACAGCAACCACAAGACTCAACATAATCTTTTCAATCAAGATACAATTTGCAGCAATCATTCTGGAGATGATTCACTTGTGTGATGGGCAAGCTGACATGGGTGTCAACATGCTTTTCAAAATCCTTGACACCACACTCATGTAATCTTTAGGGATGCACCAGTATGGGAATTTTGGGCTGATGCTCATATCTCATATTTTTATGTACATATCTGCCAAGGCCAATCCTAAAGATCTCTAAAATGTAGAAATAAAAAACTAGATCCACCTACAGACATATGTAACAGCTATACAAAGAGGGTAACAAATACAGTTAAATTAATAAAGTGCAGAAATTTTTGTACAGTAGCATCACTTACAGTGCTGTGCAAAAGTTTTAGACACTTGACATTTAATTAGATTTAAAAAAAATATATTTGCATAGAAAAATACTAGTATTACAATAAATACAACATTAATACATTAAGTAGCAATTTTACATATGTCAATGTGTTTATTTAACCATTTCCAAGCTACTTCTTGTGGTAGCCCAGTATTATTTGTAGTTATCATCCAGTATCTAGGATGTTAACTAATGTTACATGTTTAGTGCAAGTAAAAGCACATTTATTGCAAAGATAAATGGATTTGGATAAATGGAAAGGTGCTTATACACATTTGCCCACTGCTTTAAATGTTCTACTCCCTTCTGGAGAATATGATTGTGATATCATCATGTATCCTTAACTAAAAGTAAAGGCTTCAAACTTGGCACTAGTTGTATGACCATAAAGATTTTACCAATGTATCTTTCTTTCAGATACCAGGTCACCAGGTTACTTCATAAAGAGTAATAAGGAGCAGTTTTATATTTGGTACCCAATATATTAAAGTGTTATGTTTTTGAAGGTAGAGTATATGGCACACTCATGACAGAAAGTGTTTTCTATAACTACAGACTGTTCATTTAGAAATCTACTTTGAAATTAGCCATTAATCCCTATCTTGTCCAAAGGTACAAACACTCTTACTTTTGTCTTTCAAACCAGAAGAAACAAAGCACTCTCCAACAAGCAATTTACTGTTTTCGTAATATATGTAGTTTTAGAAATGAACAAACTATTTTAAAAAACAGTTCAGAAGAAGAGACACTAACAAATCTGGAATAACAATAAGACAGTATTAAACATACAGATCTTTCCTTCACTGGGCTCCAGACCACAGTGGACTGGACAATTAGACCTTATAAGGCAATGCCATCTCATTTATCTGTATTTTCTACTGATCTTACATATGTCTGCTATTTTTGTCTACTGCTCTATCAGAGTTGCCTGGTTAATGGGAGCATTCTGAGCATTTCCTATGTTTCCTTTGTGTGTATGGACAGTACAGAAACAAATCGGAGAGCATGGCTCCTTCCCAAATGCAACCTGTTCAGCTCAGCTTCTCTGTAGCACCACAGTTTAGAGCTGTATTGTGAGTGTCACCTTAATCAGCAGTGATTCCCTCCATATGACAGGCCCAGCATACACACACAAACCCCCTGGGGAAAACACCAGGGGGCACAAAAGAGAAAGTTTGTGTGTGTGTGTATGTGTGTGAGAGAGAGAGAGAGAGAGAGAGAGAGAGAAAGAGAGATACAGAGAGAGAGAAAAAGGCAAGGAGGTGACTCAACCACCACTGCTGTATTTCTACCATGGAGCTTCAAAGTTTAGTAGCCTACAAACTAACAAAGTTTCTAAAAGCCCTGGTCAGAAGAGAAAACTTACACATCCAAACAGAAAAAGAAGACGAGGTGATTGACAGCATAGTTTTCTTACTAATCTGTGGCTCTTGATTAAAATTTCCAGTGAGAGATTATACCTGTGGGAAACCCAGCAGAAACTCCTGCGTTAATAGGACACTTAATCAGTGAAATACATTAGCAATGCAGAACAGCAAAGGAGGAATTTAGATTTTATAGATGCAGGTGTGGTTAACATAATCCTTGAGAAATTCACTTGGATACAAATCTATTTAGTTAAATAACACTTACTGAAGCAATACTGAAAGACTGGATAAAACTGAAAGGGGGAATCAGACTTGTTTTCCTTCTAGAAGTGTAGTGTTTGATATGTTTGATACTTAAACAAAAAATAGCTTTTTCATTTGCTGTATAACTGCACTGGAGAGTCTTTATTCCTGTCAGTCTTCACAATTCAAGCACAATGAAATAGTGTTCCAGCCTTCTTTAGACCCCTGTCTGCAAACCATCATCACTCACTGTGCTCTCTCCTTGTTTGGGGTTCAGATCACAGTGGACAGGCTGGTAAATCTTCATCCTGCAGCCCTCCATAATCCATTTTTCTGAACGAAGCTCTCAAGCAGCTGTACGCTTCCTCCCCCCTCCTACCGACCACAAATTCAATCTGAAATTTTGATGCCGGCTGTCATTTATAATTCATCCCTGCTAACGTCTGCTACACTGTTTCCTCTCTCCTGTGCCGGCGTCATGTCGCTCCCTGATTCCTCTGCTCTTTTCCGCACTCTTTGACAGCCGTCTCGCGCAGGCCCCCGCGATTCTGTGGCGTTTAGCCCACAGTGCAGAAACACGATAACACCTCACCAAGAGGGTCCCAGAGAGAGAAAGGGGTGGAGCTGGGGAAGCGAGAGAACAACAAGTAGTGTATGCTTAAGGCAAGCTTTCATCAGACTCGTATATAAAAACAATGTCATATATGTGTATCGTGACTGTAATCCATTGGCATTCAATCCTAAACAAAGAAGAATTCATGCGTGTGATCTGCCTTTAAATTACATGAGACGCCTGCAATGTGCCAATATTTTCAGTATAGCAGCACAGATTAGAGAAGGATGAAAGGAAAAGGTTTGACAGGCACACAGTGACTTATGCATATGGATGGTTACATACATAAACATGGATGGACAGCTTCCTCTAAACCTTCAAACAGCAAAATCTGAAAGGCCATAAAAACAGCTATGTGAAGATCATACTATAAGTTGTTACTGAATATTCATGTTCATAATCACACAAATACACAGATTCCTGCCTGCAACAACCAGCAAAAGGAGGACTGAAGAAAAACAAGACTGAGTGAGAAAGTGCATATACAGATACACATAATACATACACAGAAAGCAACAAGGGTTTAAAGACACAGAAACAGAAATGGTGGCAGGAAACAGAACAGCAAGACATGCATTAAAATGAATAAAATATAATATCAGAGTTTCATGTGTTTGTGTGATAAGCTGCAGCAGTAGTGATATCTTGCTGCATCGCCCAGGTGCATTGCCCAATCAGACGCTCCACTGCTCTTCTGCCCATCCGCTCCACCAGCAGAAAAAAGCTAAAAAGCAACACACACACTCTCTCTCTTCCCTGCTGACAAACACCCAACCCGCATCTCATACGCGCACCGACCACGGTGCTGTTAACTTGTGATAAATATAATATTCAGTCTGAAGGACTAGCGCTGTGGAACAGCACTTACAGCAGTCTAACCACCCCCACCCCATTTCCATCTACTGCATTAGCTACAACACTGTGAAAGCACAGAGTTCTGCAGTGTAATGGATTCAAATTACTGTGTTTTTCTTCTCCAGCATTTGACTTTTCACTTTAATTGTGCACTGTCTCTTATGTTTACCACAGTATGTTTTGGGCAAAATGGTCTATATTGTGCTCCACTACTTTCCCCACACTGCTCCATTTATAACTAATCTGTTATGCACCCTTGCTATTTAAAACAGCTTTGCTTCACTGGTAATTTCATATTGGTCATATATTTCTACAGCCTATGAGGTCTAGAATTTAGTTTCGACATATGTTCCCAGATCTATTGATAAAAGAAAGAAACAACTGCCACACAATACATTTAACAGTGAGCTACAGTGACCATAAGTACAATTTTATAGTTTCTTATTATTGCATATTCTTTTTTTTCATTTAATAGTTACTTGAGTTGGATTGTTCTGTATTCTTTAGACAAAAGTTATGATTGCACATTAGAGATGCAACTGGAGCACAGTGTCTTTCCTTAAGAAAGTGATAGATTTCTTATAATTCTTCTTTCAGGCTCAGCTACACCCGTTCATCCTGCTGTCTGACTACGGACCTGCAGTGTCTTTCCCCCTCTGTCCTCCCCTCTGACCACTCCTGGGACTGGATAACCTCAAGGCGAACCACAGAAACTAGGCCAGACATGAGAATGGAAAGAGAGAGGAAAATAGCTCTGGTGAATGATTGTACTAGTGGATTAAGAGACTGGTACACACAACGGGTGCCAGACAGCAGGCCATTTGTGGAAGCCCAGGTGTAGGAATGGAATGGGGTTGTGAAACTCATAAGAAATAAAGTTAAAGTAAGGTCAAACTTAACTCACTGGAGCATGAACTCAGAGATATGGTGTCGGTGAAACCGCATACATCAATAAACAGACATACTGCTTTCAAACTTCACTGAAGCATATTTACTTTCAGTCACCTTTCTTTTGAACGGTTAGACAAGCTTTAAAAAAATCCAGGATTATACTGTGGAATATCAGCCTGCCAGTGAAAAAGAAAAATAATGTGTTATCATTTCTCGTGACCCTTCCTGTACACCATAAATGTACTACACAGGCGAGCACACCTGCACATACACGAACACCAATCAAAAATGTTTTCGAAAGCCACGCGCTGCTTTATACACAGTGTAACTTCAGCACCTCCTCTCTGCTTCTTTTTACTGTCAGAGATTCAGGTGAAAGAATCTGAAGCTCCGTTGCCAAAGGCCT